ATCTTCCCTTATCGGCCAAACAGTTTGCGGAAGATCTACTTCAACATGGAAGCGAAGCTGGTGAAGAGACACGTGTAACGATGTAAGCGTCCCCTTCCCCGCCCTCCACCACCTCCTCCTCCACTACCACCACCACTACCTCCTCCATCACCACCCTCCTCCTCCACTACTACCACCACCACCACCACCTCCTCCCCCCCCCCCTCCTCCTCCTCCTTCTCCACCATCACCACTACCTCCTCCACCTCCACCTCCACCTCCACCTCCACCTCCACCTCCACCTTCCCGTTCCCGTTCCCTTTCCCGCTCTTCCACTAACCGGCAAGTCTGCGATCCTCTGTTGAAAGCATACAGAGTCTATTGTCTCCGGGCCATCATTGAGCGCCAAGTGGACAGCACAACGCTGAAACAAAGAAGATGAGAAAAGAAGCGAGATCAAGGATGAAGAGAAACAAGAAAAACAGAAGGAAGAAGAACGTACGAAGAAGCAACAACAGGAATGAGAAGCAGAGCACGAACAAGAAAGAGAACATGACGGAGAGACAAGAAGGATGTGAGAGTGAAGTCAGATATCCCACTTGACATCTGCTGTGTCACAGGTTGTGATGGGGTGAGGTGAACGGGGGGCGAGTAGACGGGAGATCATGTCAGCCTTTACCTCAGAAGTCTCTCTGTTCGCACTGTAGCAAGCGACATCGGAGATAGTAGAGAACTTGCTTTCTTTCTTGGGAGTGCGAGGCCTCAGTGGTGACGACGAGGATGACGACGACGATGTTGTGTTTGTCTTCCTCTCCTCCCTCCTCCTCGCTATCCAGGGATGGAACATCTCTTGGATCTCTCTCTCCATCACTGCGAGCTTGCTGAAGACGTCGTCCTCCGACAGCTGCAGGCAGACTGGGGAACTTGCCGCCTCGTCCTCCTCCAGGAACAAGTCCCGCGGCATGCCAAGGTGATCGACAACGCCAGGGGGGATTCGCTTCCTGCCGATAGAGGAGGAGAAGTCAGGCAGAAGCTTTTTCACATGGACGGATGAGACGGGGATGATGAGAATACTTGGAACTGATCGCCTTCACTGCCTCATCTCAATGATCATCAACGCACTCTCTGTTGCCTCTTCCTCATCCTGGGTGTTTGTTTGTTTCTGTCTATCAGCCTCCCTCTCCCTCTCCCTCTCCCTCTCCCTCTCCCTCTCCCTCTCCCTCTCCCTCTCCCTCTCCCTCTCCCTCTCCCTCTCCCTCTCTCCCTCTCTTCCTCATTCTTCTTGTGCTCTTCATCTCACCTCTCAAGAGCCGTCAGTCTCAGACCCCGTCGCTGCAGCAGGCAGACAAGCCTGACGACCATGTCCTCAGGGACGCCAGGGCGGAGCATGAGAGCCGAAGATAGAAGAGGAGGAGGAGCATAAAGACACATCCCTTGTTCCTTCTTCTGCCCCTTCCCCATCTCCTCCTGCAGCTCCTTGGCCTGCCCAAACCACCATTCTGCTTCCCTTCTGTTCCTCTGAATGGAGTTGGATACAGTGATCAAGTTTCTGCTCCGATCTTCACCCCACAGTGAGCGCAGCGACAGCCTGTCAGTTCGTCTCGCCACCATCGGATCCTCTGGGCCCACAGCCGTGGTCCAGCGCTCGACGGCCTTGTGACCTCTGGCAACGAAGACGAGGGCAGGGCAGCCAGGGGGAGTGACAGTGGAGGAGAAGGAGCGGAGCTTGTTGAGGTGGAAGGTGCGAGGATAGGCCATCCTGAAGCCGCAAAGGTCGAGACCTTCCGAGCTGAGCCGGAGGAGGAGGAGGCCCACGAAGTTGCGGCTGACAGCGTCCGGCTTGAGGACAGCAACAACATCCTCCTTGGTGGACGCGGCCTCGTTGGGTTGATCGGGCAGGGGTGACGGAGGGCGGAGGAACCACAGGAGGGGAGAGGAGGAGGAGGAGACCTGTTCATCCCCGGCCAGGACACTGGTCAACAGCGACAAGTCTGTATCCTCTTCCAAGGAGACGGAAAGAGAGCCAGCGGTGGGCTGAGCATGTCCGAGGGAGGAGACGAGGAGACCAAGTTCCGTCCTCCTCAACAGCTCCTTCACCTCCGAGACGAAGCTTCCTCTCCCCTCAGCTTTCTTCGGCCTCGCTAGCGCAATGATAAAGTGCGCTGCCTCTGTCGTCTGCGAGCTGATCTTGGGCAGCAGGGAAGGAGGGCAGAGGTCGGAAGATACACGTGCCCTCGAGACGCCCAGCACCTGGAACGGGAAGAGCATGCCATGGCTGGGAGGAGGAGACGTGTCCTCGTAGAGCTCAGGGTCCCGACAGCCGGACATGCTCAGGGCAAGGTGGAGGGCTCGAGGGTGGAGGATCCATTTGAGGAAGGAGGCGGTGACGACGTGATCGACGTCGGCGAGCACAAGGACGCAGAGGTCATGATCGAGGGCTGCCAGAGCTCCCTTGAGTGTGGAGGGAGAGTTTGCTCCCTCCCCTAACACCCTGCGGGCGAAGTCAGAGGAAGGAGGACGGAGGTGCAGGTGGGGAGAGGAGTCAAGAGGGGGAAGAAGAGGATTTGAGAAAGAGGAGGTGGTGGTGGAGGAGTACGAGGACAAGGAGGACGAGGACGAGGAAGGGGGGAAAGGGGGGGGCTGGAGGAGGACGAGGAGGACGAGGAGGACGAGGAGGACGAGGAGGACGAGGAGGACGAGGTAGGAGAGAGGGACAGAAAGTGAAAGAAGACACAAACAACGTACAGACACTCATGTACAATGAAACACAGGAAGATATGTAAGAAGTTCGTGAGAAAAATTCAGATTTTACCTCAGCAGCTGGTCTGGTAGCGACGGGATCCACCCACTCCCCTCCTGCTCCTCTAAGTTCTTCCTCCTTGTTTCCTCAGCCACCTCGATCTCCTCTCCTGCCGTGGACGCAGGCGCGAGTCTCGATGCTGCCGCTGCTAGATGAGCTTCTGCGCTGCTTGTCCCTTGCTGCCCCTGCTCCAACTTGTCTTCTTCCTTCCTCTCAGAAACGTTCGTGATGGTGACGTCAGCAGGCTTGCTGCTGCCCTCCAACGTAGAGATCACCTCCTTGAGACGCTGCTCCCTCTCCTGCTTCTTCCGGTCCAGCTCCCTCTCCTGCGCGAGCCTGTGCTGCTCCTTGAGCTCGCTCAGCTTCCTCTCCTCCTCCCTCGCCTTCTTCTTCATCTCGAACGACCTGCGGTCCTCCTCGCTCCTGCTCTCCAGCCAGGCCTTCATCTCTCCCTTCTTTGCGCTCTCCTCCTCAACAGGGGTCTGACCTCGCTGCTTGATGCTCGCGCGTAGATGCATCCAGTCGTCCTCCTCCTCGTCCTCCTCCTCGGACTCATTCTGCATGGTGAACCTTGCCGCCCTTTTGCCCTTCGCTCCTCCCTCATCTTGTCCTCGGGCATTCGGTCGGGCAACAGCATGCTTCACTGAGGGCGTCACTTCACACACATCTTCAGCCTGTCTTGCCACGTCTTGACTTGCGACCTCTCGCGTGCTCTCGCTTGTTCTCGTCGATGCGTTCTGACGGAGCGATCGCAACTTGGATGCAACTGAGCCGCTCTCAATCGGTGCCACAGGCCTGGTCGATGGAGGAGCAACAGCTGGTTCAGACGCTTTCACATCATCTAGAAGCTTCTCGGATGCAACTTGAACCTCCTCTTGCCCGACATCTTCGACGTTCGTCTGATTGTCATGCTCTGTCCTCACCGCCTCATCGCTCTTCACCTCGTCATTGTTCGTCTCTTGTGAAACTCCCTCACCAGCGTTGCAACTCTGCATGACTGACTGCAACAAGTCGTCCACATCGATGCCGTTGAGGTTAGTGTCGAGAATAACTTCTCGATGCTGGGCCCTCAGTTGAGCCTCCTGCTGCCTCCGCAAGCTATCGATCTCCTGAAGGAACGACGCCTCGAACTCCTTCTCCTTCAGCTTGTACAACGCACTCTCCGTCTTCTCCCTGCTCTCCGAGATGTTCTGCTCTGCCTTGGCTTGGATCTCCTTGGCAGTCGCTATCACACTAGTCCTGCTCCTCCAAGAGTCCAGATCTTGCCCGCTCTCGAGGGCGATCCGCTGCTGCAACCTCCTCTCCTCCAGCTTCGCCAAGTTGTTCCTCGGATCAGCTGCCAGCACCTCCTTCACGTGCTGCTGAGCCTCCTGGTACTTGTGCAGGAAGCGCAGGCCTATGGCGAGCTGCAAGCGGATCTCGACGCTGCAGAAGGAGGTCACAGGAGTGAAGAGGAGGAGCAGGCTGCCTACCTGGACGGGTCCATCCCGAGCGCTCGCTCCAGGTCCTCTACCCCCTCGCTGTACATCCTCTCTTCTAGGTGGCACTTGCCGCGGCCGAGGAGGAGAGACGTCAAGATCTGACCAGGAGGACAGTGGGGGATGGCGACGGAAAAGTGCTTGATGGCTTCGGCATGCTGACCTAGGTGAGAAAGCTTCTTGGCCGCCTCCATCTCCTGCTCCACGGACACAAACTGACTGCCTACCTCCTCCTTTACAGTCAAGGTCTGGTGCCCTCCACTTGCCTGCACCGCAGCTCGTTCAGCCTTTGGTGGAGAAGGAGGGGGGGAAGGAGTTGGCTCCTTCTTGTCTGGCGAGAACTGCCGTAAAGGAGAGGGCTGGTCGACACTGAGGGAGAGTAGAGGGCCTGACTTGATCTCTCCCACGTACTCTCCTGTCTTGGGATCGACCTGAAGGTTGCTGCCGTGGATCGTGAGGGACGGAAGGGAGAGGGAGGAGGTCAGTGCTCCTAACATCGGGCGGGAAGGAAAGGCCGGGAGCATTGAATGGAAGACAAGGGAGCGCAGAGCAGGAGAAGGATAGGAGGAGAATAGAGTGGGAGGGGGAGGCAAGGGCTGGCAGAACCTGAAGATGGGTTCTATCGGAGAGTCGTCATCGTCGTCGCTAGAGTCGTCGTCGTCACTCGCCAACTGCCACCAGCCTCAAAATTTCACAGCAGGAGGTTCAGAGTTACGCTCAGTGAAGGGAGTTTGCTCCGCACGTCATTGTAGAACCTGTCGCAGCAGCCGTTTCAAACTTCGAGGAAACTTCGCAATCCCTTGCTCACCCTTCACATTGCGACTTGAGGTCATGAGTGAAGATAGTGAAGTCACTCCGCTCCAGCTTCTCCTCTTTCACTTTCTCCTCGAACTCGTTCTGACTCCTCGAGTTTTGTCCCGAGGAAGAGACTCCCGGCGTCGACTCATCCTTCACTTGACCGTTGTCCCCTCCTCCTTCACTCCTGAACTGCTCGCCATCCGATTCCTGGGAAGCAACTTCCTCGTCCTCGTCCTCGTCCTCGTCCTCGTCCTCGTCCTCGTCCTCGTCCTCCTCTTCCCTGCTAGCAGAGCTCTTGGTTGGCTGCAAGTTAATTGCAGCGGCCTGATGCTCTGGTTCAACATGCCCAACACCCTCAGGCGCCGAAGTCTTTGGGGAGCCAGCAGCAGCTCGCGGTACCTGAGCAAATCGTTACGGGAGAAGCAAGCAATCTAGGGGAAGACCTCCTGTGTGGTCACTAGACTGGCTGAAGAAACTTAGAGCAGTCGTCAGAAGAAGATGAAACTTCTCAGACAAGTTTCGAACCTGATGGGGAGCTCGATTGAGTCACCTGGGCTGGGGGGGACAAGGATTGTGAGTCCATCACAAGCCGTTTCTGCGCTCCCATCTGCTCGCTCCTTTGCTCCTCCCCGTATCTTCTCTCCTGGATCGAACGAGATCCTGTCTTGGCTGCTTCCTCTTCCTCCACATCCTCATCGTCATCCTCCATCGGCAGCCTCGCTCCTGCTTCAACGTCTTCCTGCTTGTCGGAGCTTCTCCCCTGCCCTCACCATCAGAGCACGAGTCGGCAACATGAAGCACCTTCCGACCGTCTTCAACACAACAAGCTTCCTTGCCATCAGCTTCCGTTGCTCATACTCGTCATAATCCAACAGTGTCCACCGCTTCCGACATGAATCGGCGTTAAAGACAGCGCTATCTACGTCCCTCCCATCCAGCCTTTGCGAGATCTTGCAGGGCAGCACGTCATGCACAATCCTTGCATTTGCATGACATGTCTTACCGAGCTAACATACACAGCCATCGCGTCGCACACTTTTGTGAAGTCGAACGCATACTTGCGAACAAACAGGGACAGGGCAAAGTCATACTCCTTGGACCACGGTACTCTAGCGTCCTGCCAATGGAGGTGGTCAAATGATGGAGGAGGATGTGGAGAGAGGGCAGGAAAGGAGGATGAGCAGGAGCAGGAGCAGGAGAAGCAGGAGCAGGAAGATGAGGAGGAAGAGGACGAGGAGGAGGTGGAGCAGGAGCAGGAGCAGGAGCAGGAGCAGGAGCAGGAGCGAGGAGAAGGAGAAGGAGAAGGAGAAGGGGCAGGGGCAGGGGCAGGGGCAGGGGCAGGAGCAGGGGCAGGGGCAGGGGAAGGAGCAGGAGCAGGAGCAGGAGCAGGAGCAGGAGCAGGAGCAGGGAGAGTGATCTCGCGTGCTGACGGCACGTCAGATCGACAAGGATACAAGAACTGCCCGACAAGATCAGAAGATCTCCAAGTCCGAGGAAGCCAGTGCGATCAAGGCAGCTGAAAAGGGCGAGGTGAGATGAAAGAAGAGGGAGGAGGGAAGGGGAGCGGAAGGGGGGAGGGGGGGGAGGAAGGAGAGCAGTGGGAGGGAAGTAGAGGAGAGGAGAGGAGACGGAGGAGCGGTATTTATGAGGATTGCGGACCTGAAAGGGGGAGCAGGAGGGACGAGCCTTGAATCATCTTAAAGCGTCTCAACGATACGAGGACAAGGCGATCAGAGCTCAAGCACAGGCGAACATGGTGAGCTCGCTCGCAAGCCCTTGATCGACTCTGACTGGCAGCCTACGTGATGCAGTACGGGAAGGACGAGCTAAAGCGCTCCAAGGAGATGGAAGGGCAGCTGAACCAAGGTATGAGGAGCGACGAGGAGGGAGGAGGGAATGAGGGGCGGGAGGGGAGGGGGGAGTGAGGAGGAAATGAAGGAAGTGGAGCCGCTGAGGTGTGTGCAGGCATGAATCCGAACGGTGGAGTCGCAGAGAGAGAGAGAAGAGACATCAGGAAGGAAGAGAAATTCGTCGGAAAGTGTCTCGGTGGCCCATTCTCCTTGCTGAGCTCCTAGCGGACTGACCCTCACCCTTCTCTGCCCCTCTTCTCCTCCTCCTCCTTCCTCCCCTCCTCCTCTTGCTCCCCTCCTCCAGGGCGATGCATGCCTCGCTGCTCCTCCAAGTGCGGAGATGATGCTTCGTGCATGAAGTGAGCATGTTTGCAATCTTCGTTGTCGATCTGCAGGAGAGCGGCAATGACTGGTTGATCAGGATGTGTGAAGACAAGTGCAGAGTCGCCTGCTCCAACTACGAGTCAGCAACGTCAGCCTCGGATGTGATCCGAGAGCAGGGGATGGCGAGCGAGACGAGGTTGAGGCAAGTGACTTGTGCTGTGTGATCGGATGGAGGAGGAAGTGAAAAGGAGGGCAGGAGGAGGAAGGTGCATCTGCCGTTCCATGGCAAGAAGATGGATGAAGCATGCCGGAGCACATGCATGGACAAATGCTCGACAGGCTGTAGCTCCAAGTCAGCAAACCCGAAGAGGTAAGAGAGGAAGATGTTGTATCCTTCCTCTTCTCGTTCTTGTTCCTGGAGGGTGAAGTTGCTTCTCGCTTCCCTCCTTCTTGTCTGCTCCTCCCCTCGCTCGCTAGGAGCCGGTGACCTCTGTCATGTTGGTGGCCTGTGGATTTATCCGAAGGAGAGCTTCCCGCAATGTTGCCGCCTCCCGAGCTCGGACAGAGAATCTTTCTCCGAAATCTGATCGCTTGGTAGAACCCTGTAGCTCCAAACGCGCCTACGCCCTGCTCAGGATGAAGGGGAACCGGAC